GGTCCCGCCGCGCCACCGCGCTAGGAAATGACCTAAGCGGCGGCGCGGCGCGCACAGCATGCCCCTCGAGCGGCCTTCGGGCACGCGGGCGTGGCGCCGGCGCGGCAGGTGGGTCACGCCGGCGCTCCCGCCAACTCTCCAGCCCACGGGAAGGGCGTTCGGGAAGCTGCCCAGGTCTGGAGACCCCCCCTAAGGTCCTCTCCTTTGGCCATGGGGGAGGCACCGAGTGCGGAGAGGGGACTCCAAAGGGGACCACCTCTGGGGGACACGTCACCTCGCTCCCCTCCTTTAGGAAGGATCCAGAATGGAGCTCAGGACTCTCAGGGAGTCCTGAGCGGGCAGGGCCGAGTTTCTGCCATTCGAGAGGCCAGTTTAACTAGTCTGTCCCGGGGAGAAGCTGGCCAGGACGAGGGGAGTCAGGGCAGCAGAGACGCTTCTGCACCCAGCCCTCTGGCCGGCCCCACCCCGAGGGCAGGAGGAGTGGGCTTTCTGGGCCGAGGACTCTGACTAAAGGGAGGGAGAGGGTTGCGGAGAGGGGCTTGGACCCCTGCTGAGACAGAGCTGTCCGAAGCGTGGAGACCCCAGCCCTCTCACTCGCCAGGAGCCATGCTGGACCAGCAGCTTCCAGGTCGGCTTATATATAGGCAGGGGAAGTGTTTAATATCCACATATCCACCCTCACCCCACCCCTTGGTATCAGCTGAGAAAAACCCTGCCTGCTGCTGGGACTGGAGGGTAGACGCATTCACCCTTCATCTCTTTACTCTTGTGTAATCCCAGAAGCTACAGGGGTTCTTTAATTGAGCAGCTGGTGCCCAGTCTCCACCAGAAGCCAAGCTTGGCGGGCACCCAGCCAACCACTGAATGCCATGGACTGCCCAGGAGCACCTGTCTCAAGCACTGGCCAGTCATGCCGCGGGCCGGAAGAGCTGGGAGCCCTGGCCCCGTGCACCACACCTGAGGCCTCTCCCGCTGCCTCTTCTCTCCAGGTGCTGTCATTAGTCCCAACCTCGGAAAGAGCTGCTGCAGCTGGATGGTCATGGGGGAGCCCAGGAGAGAGGAGTATAAAATCCAGTCTTTTGATGCAGCGACCCAGCAGCTGCTGAAGACAGCCCTCAAAGGTGAGCATGCGGAGCCCCCTGAGCCTGGGCCCAGAGCCTGGAGTACGGAGCCTTCGCCTGGCTTTGCCCAGCCCTCTCCCTTGACTTTCTCAGAATAGGAGTCAGCAACGTAATTCTGGAACTAGAAGACAAGCTACATTTAGGCCAGTATTTGGCAGTATGAATCATAGAGTCACCCCCTCAGATTGTAAAGCCTTTTTTTAAAGTTTAGGTGCCCATGAGAGGAGAGTGAGGCACAGAGAATACAGTTCCTGCCCCTTAAGTCCTCACGCTGGACCTGGTTTGTGCGTTGCTGCAGCCAGCTCTCTTGAATGTGCAGAGCTGCCTGACGTGGGACAGAGGATGGAGTGTTCTGCTTGGCAGGGGAGCTACAGTAATTGTCCTGGACCAGTGCCTTCTTGCGGCACTTTCAGGACAGAAGTTTGACTCAGCTAACGATTAGCAGCGCCCATCACGTGCCAAGCTGAGCCTGTGGGGAGGCCCTGCCTGGCCGGCTCTTGTCAGGGGTTCACGTGTGTGTATTATAAGAACACTTTCTTCCGTGAAATGGCTGTCAGAGGCATTGGCATTCAGTGTTCCATCCTCAACCTAGGGCTAGGAAAAGATGTGTCCTAAAAAAAACGAGCGTTCTTTGATTCTCTAACAGCCACATAACCCTGTTTCTTCTGATTGGGCCATCAGGAGGCTCACGGCTGCAGCTGCTCCTGTGTGTAGTTTCCTCTCTGTTTCCTGGTCTCTTTAAATGGAAGCGTATAATGGGACTGCTCTTCTGTGAATCTCTTGAATCCTTTAGAAGCAGGTGGAGGCAAACGTGATAATTAAGCAGCTCTAGACTCCCCACCTGTCTTTACCCTAGATCCAGGTGCCGTGGACTTGGAGAAAGTGGCCAATGTGATTGTGGACCATTCTCTGCAGGACTGTGTGTTCAGCAAGGAAGCAGGACGCATGTGCTACGCCATCATTCAGGTTGGGTGGGGCTGGTAGAGAAGGGGACACTTTGAGGAAGGTGCTTCAAGAGTGGGCAGAGGCCTGGCCAGCAGGGCAGAGATGCAAAGGGCTGGCCTCAGAGGCGAGAGAGGAGGACAGCAGGGTCCTCGGCCTTGGAAGCTTGGGTGGAGTTGCAACGGCCCAGTGACTGCCCTTCACCACCCTTTCCCTGGCTCACAGGCAGAGAGCAAGCAAGCAGGCCAGAGTGTCTTCCGCCGCGGACTCCTCAACCGGCTGCAGCAGGAGTACCAGGCTCGGGAGCAGCTTCGAGCCCGCTCCCTGCAGGGCTGGGTCTGCTACGTCACCTTTATCTGCAACATCTTTGACTACCTGAGGGTGAGGCCCTGCCAGCCACATCCTGTGCGGCACAGACGGCCTGTCTCCTGTGCCACTAAGCCGGGCTCTGGCCCCCGCTCTCCCCCCGTAGGTGAACAACATGCCCATGATGGCCCTGGTGAACCCTGTCTACGACTGCCTCTTCCGGCTGGCCCAGCCCGACAGTCTGAGCAAGGAGGAGGAGGTGGGTGGCCCTAGCACACAAGGCTGTGGAGGTGGGCTGCCTCTGGCGTAACTCAGAATGCCTGCCCACTGTTCGTGGAGACTTTCGAGGGCATCACTTGCTGGGGAGGAGCCTGGTGGGGGCATTTAAGGCCTGTCACAGTTACAGGGCAAGCTGCTAGGCCTGGAGTTTATCCAGAACAGAGCGCAGCCAAAACCTCCCGGCTCAGAGGTTTTGAGTAGGAAAGCCAACCTATGATAGGACTGGTGAGAGCATCAGCCAGCTGTGGATACAGATGACCCCAAAACCACACCAGGGTTGGGGGGAGGGGGGAGGAAAGTGGGGTTCAGAAGCAGTTTGGAAACAGGGCATGAGTCCAGCCTGGCCCAGGTGAGAGACCTTAAGCAAGTCTCTGAACTTGCTTCTTTTCATGTAAGACGTGGACAGCGCCCACTGGGTGGGGTGAGGATGAAGTGGGCAAACGTGTACAGGGCCAAGCCCGGTGCCTGGCACACGGCGAGCGCTCAGTAAATAGCTGCTCTGTGTGATGGAGGGCCCTGCCTGGGGTCACCTCCTGCTGCCCCCTGCAGGTGGACTGCCTGGTGCTGCAGCTGCACCGGGTTGGGGAGCAGCTGGAGAAGATGAATGGGCAGCGCATGGATGAGCTCTTTGTCCTGATCCGGGATGGCTTCCTGCTCCCAACCGGCCTCAGCTCCCTGGCCCAGCTGCTGCTGCTGGAGATCATCGAGTTCCGGGCAGCTGGCTGGAAGACGACCCCAGCCGCGCACAAGTATTACTATAGCGAGGTCTCTGACTAGGCCTCCAAATCAGGCCGCCTCCTCAGCAGCACCGGCCTTTCTTCTACCCACCTCCCATCCTGGCAGTGGAGTCTTTGCCTCTCCCAGACTTTTTCCCTTCCAGACTTTCAAAAGCGCCCGGGATGTTTCCCACTTAGGCGGTGGTCCCTCCCTGAGCACCTTCGCTCCGATTCCAGGATTGGGGAAGACACCAAGCACACCTGCCCCACGGTCCCATCAGCGTTTCTCTCCCCTCACCTTCAACCTGGGCCAGGCAAAGAAGGGCAACTCCTGACAAGCACTGCACTATGTAACCTTTGGTACAATAGCTATCTTGGGGCCTCAGTTTCCCCACCTGTAAAATGAGTACCCAGGGCCACTGGTGGGGTGCTCTGGGACATCAAAGGGGAGTAGAGTTACACCAGAAACTGCTTTTTATACGTTTTGTACAAGGACCGCTTTGGAACCGAGCACGCTTCCTCTGGTTGGTTTTAATGAATGGCAATACCACACCACATGCTACACCAGCTCAGGATGAGAATTTTCTAATAAACTTTTTCTGATACTAAAACTGCTTCCTTTCGTATCACCCAAAGGTCCACCCCAAGCTGAAGGAAGAGAAGGGCTGGATGAGCCCTAAGTTTCTTGGGGAAAATCTAAGTTGATATGTCCCCTCTTTGCAAGGAGATGGGGCAGGGAGAGTGAGTTCTAGCCCCCAGAGAAAGGACCAACAAGCAATAAACATGCTGCTCCATCCTTCTTATGAGGCCTGCCTGCCCCTGAAAGGCAAGTATATGCTTAACCCACAGGTATTTTGCAACATGGCGGTGGCTCATGCCGTTTCTACAGCAGCGTGCTGGGCTCCTCCTAGCTCCTCCGCCCGCCCGTTACCACCAGCGGTAGTGGGCCAGCGCGCGGTTGGCCTCGGCCATCTTGTGCATGTCGTGCTTTCTCCTGATCACGGGGCCCTGGCTGTGAAAAGCCTCCAGCAGCTCCTGGGACAGCTTCTCCGGCATCAGCGTCCGCCGGTGCTTCTTCTGCCGACACTCGGTAATCATCCACTTCATGGCCAGGAAGCGGCGACGCCGGTCGGCTAGCGGCACAGGGACCTGGGCAAGATTGGACACAGGCAAGTGAGTCTAAGAACTTGCCAGGACTGCAGCCTCCCTCCTCCTAGAGCTCTTAAGAAGCAGCCACAGGCCCACTCTGGGCCAGCCCTGGCAAGGCTGCTGAGGAGGGGGCCTGTCTTTTCCCCTCTGAGCCTCTCTCACCCCTGGCTGACCTCGGTGCAGCAGACATCAGGCATTCATCGAGCTAACATTCCTTGAGTACTGGCCTCTTTCACCTCTAAAGGGAGCTCAGCCAAGTTGATAACAGGCACCACAGGGAAAAGCCCCGTCCGCTGGGCATGACTTAGCCAACACAGGTCACGCGCGCCTAGAAAGAAGACCCTCTCGTCCAAGAATGATTTGCCAGGCCCCCACTACGTGCCAGGTACCATGGCGACCCTAGGGACACAGACGTTAATGAAAAAGTCTCTACCTTTATGAAGTTTACATTGAAAAAGGAAAGACAAGAACACCGGATTATGACAATGAAATATTAAATGGCATGATAGAGACACCCAGTTCAGTTCAACGAACGGTGATGACGCACCACGCAAGCACTACACCAGACACTGGGGTATAAACATGAGATACAAACGTAGTCCCTCACCATGAGAAGCTTATAGTTCAGAACACAGAATGCTGAACAGAATGGGGGGTAGGGTGGGCCTTCAAAAGAGGTCACTTGGATACTTTTTTTTTTTGCTCTCTTCCATCTTCTGCCTGTAATCTTTACACTGTGGGACTCAGATGAGCTGATCCTGACTCTCCCCAGTCCTTAGAAAGCTATCAATCTTGGCCCAACTCTACCCATCCCCACCATCTTGTTTCTCACGTGAGCAGCCCTGCTTTCCCGCCCTGACCACTCACCTGATAGAAATGGCCACCCCTGAGGATGGACACCAGCCCAATCACAGGCTCACAGTTTTTCAGTGCTTGGTGGAAGATGGTGTAAGGGTTGCATTCAATGGTTGCCTGTTCCTCAGCAGAAGCAGCGTGGTACTTCTCAAACTGTTTCCTTTTCACAGCTTCCAGAGTCTGCAAAGGGATACAGCGGAAGAGGCTGCCCCAGGCTCCCTAAAAGTTTAACCCAGCTGAGCTAGGACCTTGCCCCTTATTCCCGTCATCCTCTTCTTCTGTAGCTGTGCAGCTACTCCCTCAGCACTTCTGAAACAAAGATCCTGGACTAGGACAGAAAGAGCAGGCTAAGATTTGTCACATGAGGGTAGGGAATGGCAGTGGTTGACTCCTGCAGGACTTCCTGAAAGCCCCCATTCCATACATAAGTACATGGAAGTTAACTTTAATGAAAGTATAGAATGAATTCTTTTTTATGTTAAAATTAAAGAGCTAAGTACAAAGCTATGGGGAAAACAAAGATGAGAAAGAGAGGCACTGGTTACCTGGGTCATGAGGGATCTGGCCAGTATTTTGTTTCCTCCTTTCATCATCATGTTGGTGAATTTACTTCAAGGAGAAAAGCAACATGTTTAGCTCGCCAGGGCTGTATCAGGGAACCCCTACTGCACACCCTCCCTGGTATAGTCCCACTCCGCAGAGCAAAAATGTGTTTCCTTCTAACCTGATCACTGGGTCTTCAAACACAGAGCTTGTTCTCGTCGCAGGGGCAGCTTTGATAACCTGAGTCTTCCTGAGCTCCCTCTCATACTTTTCCTCCTCAGTCAGCGCGGCCAAGGGCTTGCGGTAATATCCCTTGTCAATCTGGGGATCCTGGTATTGAGGACCATAGCGGCTCCACCTCACCTGGGTTAGCCTGGGAGGCGTGGGGGAGAGGAAGAGAAGGGCAAAAGCTGACTCCACAAGTGAAAAGGCTTGACTTAACGATAGGCATGTGTGCCAATCCGCCGACGAGTGAGAGCAGCGTGGAGACCGCCAGCCAAAGCTGAAACGCAAAACTTATGACTCTTGGCCCAAGAGGTAGGAGGACCTCCCCCAAACAGGCCAAGAAAGTCTGCTCTTCAAGTGCCAACGGTAAGGACAGGCTCCTGAACCTGAGGATAAGCGACCCGCCTATGCATCTCTCCCCCCAACTCCCAGCAAAGAAAATCCCACCTCTGAGTTCTTTACCAAGATCGCACTTGCCGTTCCAAGTGAGAACCCCTCGGGCTGGGAGCAGTCACTAAGCCTTCAGGTTGACTCGAAGTCACGCGGCTGATTAAAGAGGCCTAGACTCAGATATCCCGGCCCCCAGGCTCTCTCCTGGAACTCGCGAGGCCTGCCTGTGGTTCCCCCTTCCTTCCCAGCAGGTCCCTCCGTGAAGACACAAGCGGCCTCCCAGCTGCCCGCCGCCCTCTCACCCTGGAAGCCTCAGGACAACACTCCGCACGCCCAGCAGCAAGCCCGATGACCCTCTCACAGCCGTCACCGCGGAGGCAGCCATCTTGGCTGGCCACGAGGACCCTAGAGAGGCTGCCCTCGGCGTGCCTGAGCGAGTGACGGAAGACGGGGAAAAGGCTCTAAAGGGTCCTAACTCTGTACATCACCCTATTAATCTGAGCCTTAAGAGTCTCTCACTCCGAGGTCTAAAGCGAAGAGTCAAAGGGAAACATTCGCTCTCCCATTATCCGTCGCAGCCTGGCGCCACCACGGGTGGCGGCGCTCGGTAATCTCAGGCCCCTGTGCAGGCCCCGCCCCGGCGTTTCTCTTTCAGATTCTCGCGAGGTTTGAGGCCGCTGGGCCGGCCCTGGCGGCTGCAATATGGCGGAGGCGGAAGGGGAGAGTCTGGAGTCCTGGCTGAGTGAGTAGTCGCGGCGGATTCTGTTTGCTCTCGAGCCGCGGAGCCGCACCGCCCCACCCGCACCTCTCTGCCGCGTCCCCGGGTCCCGCGGTGGCGCCGCCAGGCAGCCCGCGCCTGGCCTCGCCCGCGCCGCGAGCGTCCCGCGATCACGCCCCTTCCCCAGCAGGACGTCCCGGCCCCTGCTCCCCGTGCTACTGCGCCTTCTCCCGCTCCCGCGAGCAGCGGCGTGAGCTCGGGTCCTGTCCCGTCCCCGCGGGCTCCGGGAAAGCGACAGCCAAGTGCTTCGGGCTGGCATGCATCGGCGCTTGGGGGAGACTGTAGTGGGGCCGCGCGCGGCTGATTCCGGGCCCCCTGCGCCTCCCTGACGAAGGGAAAAGCTCCGGATTTGGGCTGAAACTCCGGGAGCGGTGGGTGTCGCTGAGCATACACACATAGCTTCAGAATTGTGACCATGTATTCGAGAAGTGACCGCTTCGTGCAGGCTGAATGTTTGAAGTGAGAGGAATCCAAAGTGAGACAGGGAGAACAGAGCTCTACCTTCTTCCTGCGGTGACCAAAGCGTGGTGAAAGCTATGTTGGGGGGTGGGGGCGGCTGCTCCCCTCCCCCACCACCGCACGTCTTCACGAGTCATTCGCTGGTAACCTACTCAGAGCAAAGCTGAGGGGCACAGCATTGATAGTGTAGTTATAGCGGCCTATTGCTATGACTGCTAATTCATACTGCTCTTAATGAGATACGGGTTAACCTTAGCAGGTAGTATTTGGCTGAAGAGTTAATACGTTGATTTAACTATGGAGTGGAGGAGACCCCTAGAGGCCTCTTTAAGTGCAGACAAATTGGACAGGGTGATAAGACGGGCAAGATGCCTAGATACTGCCTTGTGCAGTATCTGTTATTTACTAGAGCCTGCAGGCTCTTGGAGGTGATGCCTGTTTCCTCCAATTGCCTGACTTTTCTTAGTAAGAAACCCTGTTCAGGTGGTTGAACTTAAGTTACGTTTGCAAAATCTGCAGATGCAGGCAGGTCACAAAGCCTTCTGTATATATGGAACTGTCCTCCAAGGAGCTCAGTGCTCCAAAGACGTTCATTTAATTCATTTATCAAGTATCCCAGCAAAGTAGGTACTACTGTCACAATTTCACAAAAAGAGGGCACCGTCTCATCAATTCATTTGCCCAGAGCCACCCAACTGGATATAAGCACACTGGAATTGGTTCCATTCATAGGTATTAATGGGGACATTGGAGTAATTTAAATGACCTAAGCTGAGTTTAATAGGCTAGGTTTAGCGTTAGTTTGAAAGAGCAGACTGACCTGTTTCTGAGAGAGAGTGGAGATGGTGATGGGGGAGAGGGATGGTATCTGTAGAGACTAGAGCTGAGACTGGCCTTTGACCCCTTCCTGTTACTTAGAGTGACACTTGGGGCAGTGGTAAGATTCCTTCCATTCTTACCCTCTGTCCACCTTCCTGGTTCTTATGACTTAATGGTGTGAACGGTACCAACTGAACAAACCAGTGCTTGGAGTTCAGCACCATCTTAGTCTACGTCCTTGTCACTCCGTGGTTTGCTGGAATTTTTTTTTTTTTTAAGATTTATTAATTATTTTATTTTTGGCTGTGTTGGGTCTTAGTTGTGGCACGCGGGCTCTAGTTGAGGTGCGTGAGCTCAGCAGTTGTGGCGTGTGGGCTTGGTTGCCCCGCGGCATGTGGGATCTTAATTCCTTGACCGGCAATCTGAACTGCGTGCCCTGCATTGTAAGGCAGATTCTTTACCACTGAACCACCAGGAAAGTCCCAGTTTGCTGGAATTATTACAGAAGCCTCTGCTGGGCCCACTGTCTCAGGCCTCTCCCCTCCCCATATCAGTCCATTCTGCATTCTGCTCCCAGAGAGCACTTGTGTTTAGTTAAGTCATTCTGCTGCTGCCTCTTGGTGGCTCCCCGATATTCTTCCTTCCTTTGGTCAGTTGGATGTTCTTGTCCCACCAACACGCATTCCTCTCCTTATCTGAAAGCCCTGTTCCCCTTTGCTCCACTACATGCTGTAAAATGCACCCCAGAATCTCCTTCCCCGTAAACCACCTCTTGATTTCAGCGCTCTCCAAAGTCCTGCGTTACAGCAGTTGATCAGCGTCTAGTGACTACCTGCTATGTGTGTGAGGTGTGATGAAAATTAAGAAGTTCAAACAATCTTTGCCTTCAGTTTGAAGAAAGTGATGCTGGAGTGGATACAGCATTTTTAAGTAGAAAGATAAAAGCAAGAGCCGTAAATGCTAAAATTCAGACAATTTCTTTGGGAAATTGGGAATAAGTGGAATGGAAGATGGTTCTCCCAGTGGGGAGATTGCACTCAAGCTAGGCCCTAAGGAATGGGAAAATTGGCTAAGAGAACACCAGACAGTGATGTGGAGGGAGCAGACCACGTCTGGGGTATGCAGTAACAGCTGTTTGGCTGGTTCAAGCAGGGGCTTCCTGTGGGAGTGTGGTGGGAGAGAAAGCTGGGAAGTTAGAAGTTAGAACCAGATTCCGGATCAGCTTGAATTCCAGCCCAAGAAGTTTACGTGTCTACAGTTAGGAGGTCCCCATTCCTACTGTACCTGGTAAAATTAGTGTTTTGTGAAGGTTCATCTTGGTGTTTTTACAAAGGATGGGTTGGAGCAGAAGTTCTGGAAGCAGGTGAGAAGTAAGGAGGTCGGGGAAGGAATAAGAAAAGAAGAAGTGAGAGTTTTAAAAAGACATTGAGGGCTTCCCTGGTGGCACAGTGGTTGGGAGTCTGCCTGCCAATGCAGGGGACATGGGTTCAAGCCCTGGTCTGGAAGGATCCCCCACGCCGCAGAGCAACTAGGCCTGTGAGCCACAACTACTGAGCATGCGCGTCTGGAGCCTGTGCTCCGCAACAAGAGAGGTCCCAATAGTGAGAGGCCCATGCACCGCGATGAAGCCCTGGTGGCACAGTGGTTGGGAGTCTGCCTGCCAATGCAGGGGACATGGGTTCGAGCCCTGGTCCGGGAGGATCCCACATGCCGCAGAGCAACTAAGCCCATGCACCACAACTACTGAGCCTGTGCTCTAGAGCCTGCAAGCCACAACTACTGAGCCCGTGTGCCACAGCTACTGAAGCCTGCGTGCCTAGAGCCCGTGCTCTGCAACAAGAGACGCCACCACAATGAGAAGCCCACATGGAGCAACGAAGACCCAATGCAGCCAAAAATAAATAAATTTATTTTAAAAAAAAAATTAAAAAAAAAATAAAAAGACATTGAGGGGACTTCCCTGGCGGTCCAGTGGTTAGGACTTGGTACTCTCACTGCTGAGGGCCCGGGTTCGATCCCTGGTGGGAGAACTATTGTAAGACCCCACAAGCTGTGCGACATGCGCCGCCGCCCCCGCCCCCCGCCGCCAGAAGAAAATCGAGAAGGAAGGGATTATGACTGACTGATGAAAATGGGTGAGGAGGGGGAAGGAGTGTTCAAACCTGGGTGCCTGGGGGTGGGGCAGAAGGAGCTTTTGAATGGTGGCGCCACTTATAGAAACAGGGGAGTCAGGAAGTAGAAGTGGTGAGTTTGTTTTTAGACTCGTTTCTGCACCAAATTAGCTCTTAAAATTACACCCTGTCTTGTTTTTTGCTCTGGTTACTTCTCGTGTGTTGCACCAGAAGAGCGTGACCTCCTCAAGGGTAGGATCCGAATCTTGTACTTTTTCTGTAGTCCCTCCAGGGCCTACCACACTGTGTACTTAGTTTTTTATGGCTGCTTAACAAAGACGGTGATTGACTAAGTCTCCCTCGATTCAAGACCACGGCACTGCAGGCTGACTCTTGACTCCCTTTCCATCTGTGTCCTGGCCTCTGCTTATTTCTACATCATTTGCTACATAGAACTTGTCATCACTGGACCATCTGAGCCGTGTTGGGAAGGCGTAGCCAGTGCTGCCGTTTCCATCCCTACTTGACCAACGGTCCCATGACGGTCAAGGCTAGAGATGGAACTAAGTTGAAAATGAGAGCAGGAAACGGAGAGGCAAAGACACAGACTAGAATAAGGCTTTCAACGGAGCCTCAGAAATAGAAACCTTGAATCAGAGTAGAGCCCAGAGGGGCAGTTCTAGAAGGCAGGACCTGAGAGGAGGCTCTGGTGTCACCTCCGTGGCAGGTGAAGGAGAATGTTGAGGGGGTGACAGTTGTGAGTCTGCTGGCGAGGCAGTGGGCAGATGGCGCGACTGAGTCGCCCAGAATCATCCCCAGAGGTTCTTCCAATTCCCGTGGGTGACTGAGGTCTGCTGTCCGAGCTGGCTGGAGAGTCAGAGGATATACTCAGAAGTGGGACCAACCATGGCTGAAACCAGGGCTTTTTGTGCTCATGTGTAGGCAGAGAGCTCCCTGCGGGTTTGCAGTAAAAAGATCTGTCAAGGGGAAAGGGAGTGGGATTCTAGAGATGTTGAACATAAGTGAAAAGTAAGTGGGAGCGTTCTTGGGAGCAGAAATGCTACAGGAGTTACGGCAGCCCTGGGCAGAGTACATTGTTTGGTGAATGCCCGTGTGTGGGGAGGGGCTGTCCACATTGTACACTGTATCTGTAAGATGCTTTTCTAGTTGCAAACAGTGGAAGCGAGTGGGCTTCTTTTTATATCACGAGGCATGCGACTGACCCCAAAATGATGAGAGTGACAGGTGCAGGTATGGCTCCTCAGACCATCTCTTTGTATCCTACAGCCTCTTAACGTCATGAGAACTTTAAGCATCTCAAATGACAGGGATTAGTAACAAAGCCATGCCGATACCTGAGAAAATTTCAGACACCTGGTGGGAGAGACTCAGGGCTTTTCTGGAGGGTAACAGCTAGTAGGTCACTGTGGCAATAAATAGCCCCTCTTGATAGAATTAATCTCCCTTCCCTTCAAGCATGACATTTTGAAGGGCCTGCTAATTCTCTTCTCAAGATTGAGGACTGACATCTCTTTTTTCCTCCAAATATGATCCTAAACCATCAGAATTTTCTTGCAACCAGAGCAGAAACGCTGCCACGCACGCGCAGCGCTGGGCGCTGCAGGTGTTCCCTCTGTTGCCAGCTGGCATCTGCTGATTCTTGTGACTTCTATTGGAGGGGTAGGGGGTGGCTAGGAGTCCCTGTTAGGATTTGGTCGTGGAGCTAGTGACTTTTAACGTTAGGGGAAAAGGAAGTTAAGAAAACAGTCACGAAAAATCAGAATTTAGGAACGTCTAACAACACCCCTTGTTGGGAAGGGCTTTTTACAGGCTCTCACTCTGCTTTTGGCCCTTGTGGAAATCTGCAGGAGGAGCCTGGTACTTAAAAAAGGATCCACGCCTTCAGTCTTCCTTTTGTCTTCTGAACCTGAAGCCCTAAATTTAGCAAACAGCTTGAGAGTGCTTTCTAGAAGAGGCCAACTCCAAGATCTGAATCAGAGATGGGAACACATTTAACCATCCTCAGCTGGGGCCATCCTCTGTAAGCACAGGTTCTGGGGATAACAGAGAAGAGAGGACCCACACCAGGTATTAGGAGGCTTGGCATTTAGCTTCTGGAATTTAAACCCTCAGTGACCCTCTGAGAACTCTTCAATGCTTGTCTTTGTCCTTGATCATGGAAGACCCTTTAAACTGAAGGGTGGGGACTTCCCTGGTGGCGCAGTGGTTAAGAATCCGCCTGCTAATGCAGGGGACACGGGTTCGAGCCCTGGTCCGGGAAGATCCCACATGCCGTGGAGCAGCTAAGCCCGTGCGCCACAACTACTGAGCCTGAGCTCTAGAGCTCTCGTGCCACAACTACTGAAGCCCGCACACCTAGAGCCCGTGCTCCGCAACAAGAGAAGCCACCGCAGTGAGAAGCCCGCGCACCGCAATGAAGAGTAGCCCCCGCTCGCCGCAGCTAGAGAAAGCCCACGCGCAGCAACGAAGACCCAACGCAGCCAAAAATAAACAAACAAACAAATAATAATAAACTTAAGGGTGCTGGGACTTCCGTGGTGGTCCAGTGGTCGGGGGAATTAAGATCCCACATGCTGCGTGGTGCAGCCAAAAACAAAACAACAAAACAAAACTTAAGTGTGCAGATTACTCAAGCTCAGATTCTGTTTCTGCAACCCCAGGGACAGATAGCACAGTGATTGGTGCTTAGAGGGGTTCAGTAAATGTTGCTAGCTTGCCTTAAAATGAGAGGCTTAGGATTTGTTTTCTCTTTCGTTTGTGACTTTCAAAATATTGGACAGAAAGTGGTATGTGTATTTGACTTGCTTTCTGACTGAACTATTGAGTCTTTTCTCCTAGAGAAGAAATATCTTCACATCAGTGCCTAAAAAGCGTGAGGAAAACCTTCCATACTGTCCTCCTTACTCTTTATAACAACCGTACTCTTCTTTGTTCTGTCCCAAGATAAAGCCACGAATCCTTCCAACCGCCAGGAGGACTGGGAATACATAATTGGCTTTTGTGATCAGATCAACAAAGAGCTTGAAGGGTGAGTCTCAAAGCTGTTAGGGGGCAGGTAAGAGGTAGTTGACTGGAAAAGTAAAAACCTGTGGCCAAGGAGGGCCATAGCCAGATGGCCTCGGGTCAGTGTCCTCAAAGTGTGGTCTGCTTGTCTCCCAGGCCACAGATCGCTGTCCGACTGCTGGCCCATAAGATCCAGTCTCCGCAGGAATGGGAGGCAGTCCAGGCCCTGACGGTAGGTTCTTCGTGCTGACGGTGTATCTTCATGAGCCCAGGCCCTTCCCCATGAGCCTGCTGGGATCTCTCAGGGGGTCAGGGCTCACACCCTAAGCCAGCTGAACACCCTCGATACAAACTAGACATACCTGGACCTTGCTCAGTCAGCTGTTCCACAAATGTGTGTGCCCCTGTGCCAGACACTGAGCTTCACGGATGGCTGCAAGCGTGGGCACAAGGTCTGGTGGGAAAAGCAGAGTGGCCGAGGGAGGGAACGAGGGGCAGGTGCCCTGGGCTGTGGGTGAGGCTCAGAGAAGGCTTCTTGAAGAGAGGCTGACAGAGCTGTCTTGCCAGGTAAGAGTTGGCCAAGTGTGATTCATCCTGTAGCTAAAAATAATGCCGGTTACTAGTGAAGGCATCACACCAACAGGCAGATCCTAGCGTTTATTCAGACTACGGGGGGGTCAGGATGTGGAGCCGTGTGCGGCACGCGGGTGCCTTCCGGGCTCTCCCCTAAGCCGGGGGGCCCAGGTTCTCTCCTGACTTCGTTTAGCTCCTGGAAAACCGGGAGAGGGGGACACGGTTGTGGAAAAGGCACTTAGCCCATGCACATGGCTCTGCTGTGTCCTCCGGAGAGCAATGGCCTTAGAACAGTGGTTCTTGACTGGGGGCAGTTTTGTCACCCAGGGTACATTGGGCAATGTCTGGAGACACTTTTGGTTGTCACAGGTCAGGAGGTGCTACTGCCATCTAGTGGGTAGAGGCCAGGGGTGCTGCTGAGGACAGGCTTCTGCAACAAGTGACCCGCCCAAAATGTCAGCAGTGGTGCAGTTGAAAAACCCTGCTTTACAAAGACAGAAGCCTTCCCTGGCTTCTTCCCTGGGGGCAGCACTGGGGTGGTCTGCTCCTTGCAGGAAAACTCAAGGCAGGTCCTATGGGCCCCAGAAGGAAAATAGATGGGGGCCGGGGGAGGGAAAGTAGTGTGCCATCTACAATGAAGAAAACAGAATTAAAAAAAAGAAGAAGAAGAATTTAACAGAATTCTCTCCCACCTCCCCAAAACGTTGATCAGCTTATGGAAGGAACCCTGGACCCTGAGAGAAGCGTGTGCTCTCTGGGTCTCCGTCTCCTCACCTGTAAAATATAAGGGCAGAATCTGCAGGCAGGCACCTTCCAGGACTGACACTCGATCTGTCTTGGTATCTGGGTCTCAGGGTTTTTTACTTTAGTTCCTGTTGAGCTTCCCCAAGAGAGGTTTACAATTTGAGGGACTCTTTCGTCAGTGATCCTGTTGCGCTGATGTCCCCTGGGGCAGTGCACGCCTCTTTTCCTGGTTAGTTCCTTACTTGGGTGAGTATTTATTCAGCGCCGCCTCTGTGTGGGGTCCGGCCGAGTGCCAGGCCCCAGGCCTGAGCGCCTCGCCTTTGTGTGGCCCAGGTGCTGGAGGCCTGCATGAAGAACTGTGGGAGGAGATTTCATAACGAAGTGGGAAAGTTCCGGTTTTTGAATGAGTTGATCAAAGTCGTCTCTCCAAAGGTAAGTCAGTGGCAGTTTCCTCGTTTCTAGGAACTTCTTTCGTACCCCGCCCCATCTTACTGGCTTTCACTGCACAGACCAGCATCTCCATGGATCTGAGATTCCCTGGGTCCTGTCCTCAGAGAGCTAGACTCTGACAGTAGCAGGATGTCCAGACAGGGCTCCCAGTCTAAACGTTACAGGTGATGCAGCAGCTGCGCGCATGTCAGGGGAGGGCCTGTGTAGCGTTGGACCCTGGGCTTCTAGTGACAGCAGTCACTCTTCCTCGCCTGTCTCATGTGGACACGAGCAGCTGGCCTCCCTCATCACCCAGCTTCCATCGCACACTAGTGTTGCCTAAGCTCTGGGCACCCACTTACGGCAGAGGGAACAATTCTTCATAGCAGAGAGGTTCTCATTAACTCCTCTGAGAGAAAGTGCAGTTCTGTTTCTGGCAGGCTGTGTGTGGAAACGCCGTGAGGAGCTCCCAGCCCCCGGCCCGACTGCCGTCTGTACGCCGGATGGATACGGCCGTGTGCAGGCCGTCTCCCGCCCTCCCCTCCCAGTACTGTCACACTCACGCCTCACACCTGCGTGTTTGGAGGAAGCTTGAGGACTGTATCCAACTAGCGACCATTTCATTGCTGTGAAGAGAGCCCTCTCTCTGTCTCTGCCTCCAGACTGCGCTAAGTTTTCCCATTTCCTTTTGCCTCTTAGTACCTGGGGGACAGGGTGTCTGAGAAAGTAAAGACCAAGGTTATTGAGCTGCTTTATAGCTGGACATTGGCGCTGCCGGAAGAATCCAAGATCAAAGATGCCTACCACATGTTGAAGAGACAGGGTATGCGCCTGCCTTCCCTCAGCCTCAAAGCAGCCCTGAAGGCTGGCCGAGGCCAGGAAGAATGAGGGGTGTCTGCCTAAGACAGCGGGAGGGGCTGGGCTGTGAGGGAATGAGGGGGCTGCGGCCCGCAGGCCTGGTCCCAGGGAGCGCCCCCTTGCTGCATGAGGAAGGGAAACGACGCGGCCCAGCCTGCGCAAACACTGCCCCATCCCGTTTCAGGCATTGTGCAGTCTGACCCGCTGATCCCTATGGACAGGACACTGATCCCCTCTCCGCCACCTCGTCCCAAAAACCCTGTTTTTGATGATGAGGAGAAGTCCAAGGTAAAGTGCATTCCAGCCTGCAGCGTCCTCCGATGAGGTGCGGGCTTGCTCAGTGCTGTGGGGAGCTCCAGTCCTATGTTCTCCCCATGTGGGGAGTTGCCTGTCCCTCTACCTCTGATACCCTCCTCTTCCAGCTTTTGGCCAAGTTGTTGAAAAGCAAAAACCCAGATGACCTGCAAGAGGCCAACAAGCTCATCAAGTCCATGGTGAAGGAAGTGAGTGGGCCCCGAGCCTTGGGGTGGAGGATCCTGTGGCCACAGAGCAGAGGGCCCTTCCCCTGGTGCTGCGCCTGTTGTCTGCCCTGTCCCCAGCCCTCACCTGGGAGGAGGAGCATGGGAGCTTCTGGGGGAGAATGGGATAGAGGAGCACGAGTAGCTGGGGCCAAGTTTGGGGGTAGGGAGGGCTGTTGCTTTAAAAGAAAAACTGTAGATTGGGTCTGAGGCCAGTGGTTCCCAAGAATCATGCATTGAGGGCAGAAATAGAGACACAGATGTAGAGAACAAACGTATGGACACCAAGGGGGGAAAGTGGCCCGGGGAGGCGGAGGGGGGGGGGATGGAAAAAAAAAAGAATCATGCACTGAAACAAGCTTCCGTGGGACTGGCCTCTGCTCTCGTGTTCTCTGGGAAGGTGTGATCCTTGCCTGTCGGGATTCTGGGGGGCAGTGGGATGGGTCCAGTTGAGCTCTTTCTCCTGGATCCTCTTTGATTCAGGATGAGGCGCGGATCCAGAAGGTGACCAAGCGCCTGCACACCTTAGAGGAGGTTAATAACAACGTAAAGCTGCTCAGCGAGATGCTGCTTCATTACAGCAAAGAGGACTCTTCAGAGGCAGATAAAGAGCTCATGAAGGTAGGCCCCGCTTTGGGAGGTCCAGGCTCCGGGGAAGGGAGCCAGCCTTCGCCGAGTCCCAGCCCTGAGACGCCGCTACACACCTGGTGTTCCCTCACCTCTTGACCGGCACAGCAGCCAGGTAGAGGGGAATGGCGCCCCCATTTTGCATGTGAGCCACGGCTGACTTGCACAGGGTGCGCGCGCTCCACGTACCCCTACATCTACGTGACTGCAGACCTGCTCCAGGGCGTGCCCCTGCTTCACCTCGCTTTCTGCCTCGGGGACATCTGGGCAGAGAGGCCAGCCCTGTGCCGCTGATGCTCATCTCAGCCCTCGGTCACATGGATACTCTGAATTCTGAGACATGTGCCAGCCTGGGAGGCAGGAAGGGACATACTGTCCTGGTGACTTCTCTGCCTGAACAGGCGTCTTGGGTGACACAGAGTGGTGGAGGCTGGTGGCAAGATGTGTGCTCTGAGCCCAGCTCTGCCGGTAACTGACCGTGGTACCAGGGGAGCCCGCGACTGGGCGTGAACGCTGAGTTAGATGCTCTCCAAGAACCCTGCCAGCTCCAGTTTTTCTGCCTGGGTCTCTTCTAGGAGCTGTTTGATCGGTGTGAGAGCAAGAGGCGGACGTTATTCAAACTAGCCAGCGAGACAGAGGACAACGACAGCAGTTTAGGTAAGTGAAGAGGGGTTGACAAAGATGAGCTGGGAATCGGGATGTATGTGTGTGGTGGGGCGCCGTCATGGCCAGGAGTGAGCAGTCTCTCTCCGTTCTAGGGGACATCCTACAGGCCAGTGACAACCTCTCCCGGGTCATCAACTCTTACAAAACAGTCGTTGAAGGGCAGGTCATCAATGGTGAGGTGGTCACCTCAGCCATTCCTGACTCTGAAGGTAAAGTGTTCTGGTTCCCCACTCCCGACCCCTCTGGACCAGCCCCGGTCCCTACCACCAGGCCACGGTGCAGGTTGACCAGTGTGTCATCCCACAGGGCCCGAGGGGGTTCTGAGCCACTCCAAGCGGTCCCCCTGGGAGGTCTGCACAGGGTCTCCCCTGCTTGCCTTCTCCGCTGGCTTTTCAGCCTTCCCCTGGCACAGGTGCTCTGGGATTAGGCCAGAGGCTGTGTCAGGGTTCCCCCTCCCTCTGTGCAGCCACTCGAGTGGCCCCTAGTTATTCCTGTCCCCTTCCATTCGTCCATCCAGGAAACCACCGCTCCAGTAACCAAGGCACTCTCATTGACCTTGCCGAGTTGGATGCGCCCAGCAGCTTGTCCCCAGTGCTGGCCCCCGCACCCTGCCCCTCGGGCATCCCTGTCCTCCCTCCGCCCCCCCAGGCCTTGGGACCCGGGCGCAGCCACTCGTCCAGCCAGGCTGAGGCCCCCCCGGGACCCAGCAGCACAAGCCACACCCTCAGCCTGCTGGACGAGGAGCTGCTCTGCTTGGGTGCGTCCTGGGGGCTGGAAAGGGCTTCTGGTGGGGCCGGTAGGGAAGCTAGGCGCGTGGGACCGGGAGGTCTGAGGGGCCCGTGTGCTTAGCGAGGGTGGGGGAGGAGGCTTCCGCTGCAGGCAGAGAGCCAAGTGCAGTGTCCCTCAGGGGGAGCAGAGCGGACCCAGTGTCTTGCTCTGCTCCCCTCTCCCCGGGAGGTGCCCCCTCAACGTAAGGACTGAAGCGGATCCGCTCCCCTCTGGAGGCTGCCTGGGGGACACCTCTCCACCCTGTCACCCACGGACGTCCCGCTGGTCACGTGACCCTACCTCGGTTGAGGTGGGGCTGGGGCTGCCCAAGCCCAGAGCCTCTTCTCACCGCAGTTGTCTTCTCTGTTCTCAGGTCTCACCGACCCAGCCCCCTGTGCTTCTCCCAGAGAGTCAGCTGGAAACAGCCAGTGGCCCCTGTTCCAGGTAGGGGCACAGGTGACATGACTGCAGGGCTTGACAGCCTTCACTTCCTACTGTCCTCCCCATCCCCGACTAGTCCTCAGCTGCAGTTGTCTGCTGTCTTGACCCCTTAGGGCACCATGCCGGATACGGCGCTCTCTCTGCCCTGTCCTTGGAGGACACAGGCTGCTCGTCCAGAAGGGCTGCAGTAGGGCCCCCAGTAAAGGGGTGGGGGGTGGAGAGCCCAGATCCCCCGCCGCTCGCTCATGCTTTCCATTCCCCACAGAACGAACAGTCGAACCTGGAGTTCTTCAGCCCCACACCTGGAACTGGTGCCTGTAGCCTCTCAGATGGGCCTCTCCTGCAGCCCTCAGCAGCCCCCGTGGTCCCAGCCAGCGTTCCAGCCCCCCCGGCCGGCTCCTTCTCATTTTCCACCGGCCTGGCCCCAGCTTCGGCCCCCAAGGCTGAGCCTGCGGCCCCCGGGCACCATGGTTCAGCTTTGGGCGACAGCACCGTGCGCCAGCTGGACGCCCTTGATCAGCTTCTAGAAGAGGCCAAAGCGTAATGAGTGGGAGAGGGGCTGGTGGGGAGGGCAGGCCCGGGCGTGGCAGAGCCAGAGGCAGCTCCAGAGGGGTCATGAGTGTCCCCTCTTAGTCTGGAACCTGGAAGCCAGGGAGGGGAAGAACCGGCTCTAGCCTGGTGGCCTTAGTGAGGGGCAGCCCAGCAGCTCTGCCTGGTTTCTGACGTGCCCTGTCCTCCTCCCTGCCTCCCAGGACCTCAGGCCTGGTGAAACCCGTCTCCTCCGGCTTCTTCGCTGGCGCTGCCACCTCCCCTCTGCTCCCCACCAGCACCTCAGCTAGACCTCTCCTTCCCTTCTCCACGGGGCCTGGCAGCCCTCTCTTCCAGCCACCTGCCTTCCAGTCCCAGGGCAGCCCCATGCAGGGGCCCGAGCTCTCCCTGACCAGTGTCCACGTCCCCCTGGAGTCTATCAAGCCTAGTAGGTGTTGGAGGCTTGGGGTGAGAGGGGAGGTAGGGCTCACAACTTGCAGTGTTGTGGGGGACACGAGAGGGGTGGCAGGGTACAGGCTCTCCAGGCCGGGGTCCCTCAGAGCCGCACGTGGCCCACCTAACCGCTGCCTCAGCCTGTGCTTGTTCCCACCATGCACTCTCGGGAGGTCCTGCAGAAGTTCTTCCCCAGCCTCCTGGAAGCCTGTGTCACAGGGCCGCCGCGCCCTCCCGCTCGGCTGCGGTGCTCTGCTGGCTGTCTTCAGCCTTCCTCTCCTTCCACGCTCACGCGCCCCCTTCTTACAGGCAGCGCCCTTCCTGTGACAGCCTATGATAAAAATGGCTTCCGCATCCTCTTCCATTTTGCCAAGGAGTGTCCTCCAGGACGGCCTGACGTGCTGGTGGTGGTGGTGTCCATGCTGAACACGGCTCCCTTGCCTATCAAGAGCATCGTGCTGCAGGCTGCAGTGCCCAAGGTACCCCCGGCTTCCTGGAGCCTCGAGAGGCAGAATTCACCTGCATCTCGCACCCACTGCGTCCAATCCCAGTTCCATCTCAGGGGGACCTGCAGTCTCTCTTCAAAGGAGCTTCTCTCTCTCTGTCTCTCTCTTTAGTCAATGAAAGTGAAGTTGCAGCCACCCTCTGGGACAGAACTCTCTCCGTTTAGCCCCATCCAGCCACCTGCAGCCATCACCCAGGTCATGCTGCTGGCCAATCCACTGAAGGTGAGCTAGAACTGGGGATCCCAGCCTAAAGCCCTGGCTGCCCCAGGTTAGGGCTCGGGAATATCACCTCCCAACCTGGAGTGTCGTGATACCACAGCCATTATTCACGTGCGTCCCTTCTCTACCCTGGTCCAGTGGCTGAGTGAGGACGAGGTGGTAGGAGCAGGGCCTGTCCCGCAGCACAGGCAGGGCCCCAAGGGTATCACAGAAGACAGCGTCTCACACGCTGCCCCTCTGCTGCAGGAGAAGGCGAGGCTTCGGTACAGGCTGACCTTCGCCTTGGGGGAGCAGCTGAGCACGGAGGTGGGGGAGGTGGACCAGTTCCCCCCTGTGGAGCAGTGGGGGAGCCTGTGACCCCAGAGGACACTGTCATCTGCACTTTGGAGCCCAGGCACCTGCCTGGAGACGGAGGCTCTCCAGGTCGAGCCCTTCTTCACGTCCTGACTGCAGCGCTTAAGAGCTTTGGTGTGGAATGGGGGGCCTGGGCATTGTTTCCAGGAGCCGAGCTGCTGCTGTGATGATCTCTCCTCCTCTGGCCCCCTAAAAGGACCTGTTTTTATCTACCTGTGTGACTTGAAGTGGCCACGTGCATCGGGGGTGGGGAGTGGCCCCAGACTCTGCACCCCTGCCCTGGGAACATGGACCCAGGGCTGGAGTAGGTTTTTCCCTTGTGTTGGCGTCCTTTGATGCCACAGAGGGGGAGGTCTCCAAAGACAGACTCAGGGCCCTCCCTCAAGGGCCGCGTCCTCACAGCCCCAGAGGTCTCAGCTCCCCGTTGCTGCTCCGTGCTTCCCCTTGGCAGGCTCCTGCTCCCATCTCCAGAGAGGTGGGCAAAGCCCAATGGTCCTGAACAGCCCTGGGCCCAGGGTAAGGAGTTGCTATGCTGCCAGATCTCCAACCCTGCCCTCCATGGGCAGCGGCATCGTGGAGTGGCCACTGGATGATGAGTTGTGTGCTTGTCCCTGGTGGTGGCAGGCTGTGTCCTATGGACATTGCAGCAGGATGAGGAACTCAACTCAAGCTATTAGAAACAGTAGAACTTGGCCTCATGGCAGCCTAAACTGCAGATAGGAAGGAAAGAAGATGGAAGAGAACCAGTTTTTTCCTCCGGAAGTAGGTCCTCAGCACTTTCTGGGAAAAGTGTGCCTCCTGCTACAGGAGCAGGCCATCCCACTCACTCACTACCTCTTGCTCCGCATGAAATAAACTGCTGTCCTGCCCTTCACGCCTCTGAAGGGGAGGACAACTCCCAGCGCCCTGTGTCCTCCTGCTTCAGCCTCCCCTGCCTCCCACCAGATGGCCTGTGGTGTGGCACGTGATTGACTGGCAACAGGAGGCCTCAGGGTCAGGCACGTTGCACTAGGTTCTATGTCCGTACCTGCTGCCCAGAAACCCCGTCCCTAGCCGCCCAGGGCCACTGTCAGCAAGATGTTGGGTCTGGAGGTGGTGAGATTAGGGGCCTTGCTTGAATCGAGTCACCAGACCCTATTGCTTCAACAGTGCTCAGCCCAAGCTGCTCCACCCACCAGGTGGAACTGGGCGGGGGACTCTAGGCCTCACGGGGCAACGGGAGAGTGAGGACCACCAGCTGGGGAAAGAGCGCACAGCTCACCTGAGCTCAGCTGGATGGGCTCGGAGCCATCGCTGGGAAAGGGTGGCACAAACCACGTTCCCTGACCCTCCCTGCTCCTTTGCCAGGCTTCCTCACTCCATCAATACAGAGGTCATCTCCCCTTCCCTCCCACTGTTGGCAAGCAGGTTTCACTGCTTCACTAGGACAGTCAAAAGTGAATCCATTTCACTACTTAAGGAATAAATCCAAGAGCTTTCCAGAGACGGGCTGCTGCAGCCCTGGGAAGGTCTGTGGGACTCCTATATGGAAATGTACCTTTGTAAGCTTTAGACTTTAAAATTATTTATGAGTGTTACTTGTTACTATTGAGGTCACTGCTTCGTGACAAAAAACTGTACTGGATATATCAACTGCTGCCCTTGTTTTGCTGCATGTTAAATAAAACCACTTTCACCCCATTTGTAATCCTTCTAATACAGACACCAATCACCCCAGTGTGGGGGAAGGTGGCACTTAGGAACTCCAAATGTAGATAGGTGGATATGCTGGCATCACCTGAGGGTTGTTGCTGAAAGGTAAGGTTCCTAGACCGTTTTCTTTTTTAAAGAAGATAACTGGAAAGTTAACGGGTGATTGTGAGGTGAAGCCAAATTTCAGAAGCACAAGTAAACCACTGAACGCTCTTGTTCAAATCCCTCCTTACAAGCAGGAGGGCGCTGCGCTCGCCGTGACTTCTGAGGGCGGCTGCTTCTCGAAGACGGCTGCCTCCGGTTTACAGTGGTGGCAGATAAAAACTCCCTATAGGCGTAAGAACTCTAAGTTCTATAAGAACTTGCCTTACATTTGCAAAAGAAAACATTTATTCTTTTAAAAATGTACGTACATTGCCTTACAAAGATAACGTGTTGGAGCCGGCCTCAGGAACCTTCCAACGAGCCTTCTTTTATAATTGACCGGGCAAGATTCCGTGCGAGAGCAAGTCTCAGCATCTCCACCTTGGTGGCCTCCACGTCATCATCCTAAAAGCAAAGGGCCTGCGTGAGGCACAGCAGGAGGTTTACCTTCTTTATAGTTCCCAAGACTCTAACCCAAAGGTAGATAAAAGGCATATAACATTCAGTAGTATCTTCCGGCAAGTTCTTAATATGAAGAGATGGAGCTGCATGCAAAGGACCACTGTGGCTGGCTGGCTGGCTGGCTGGCTGACTGACTGACTGACAGGAAAGAAAAAACAGACGAGAACACTAGAATCACCTCATTTTCTCCTAAAATAAGTTGGCGTGTCACAGTTACAGGTTAAGAGGTATCTTAAGAGGCATGTGACTTTGTAAGGGGCCAGCATCTCGGGGTGGGGTTACACCTGAGCTAGGAGGAGCCTTTTCTCATCTCCATTGTGGTACCAACGAACGAAAAGCTCAGCTGACCTGGAGTGGCTGGGCATCAGGCTCTCCACGCACTGGTCTTCCTGAGGGCAAGTCCTCCAGACACCTCATCAGCTCGTACGTTTGCTCTGCTGAAAAAATCACCTAAGGGGAGAGACGCTGCTTTGCTTAGCTGCTCGCCGGCCAAAGCCTGCAGTGGTCTGGGCATGGGCTCAAGCCGAGACAGCCTTTCCTGTATCTCACCTGGAGAAGTGTGCTTTCTGTATGCAACCCTGGGAGGGTAGGGCAGCCCCCCATTCTCACTCCCAGCGCTTGTCAGGGTCCTGGGCTGAGCACTGTCAGTAGACAGATGCCACATTTCAAATTAAGTAGTTTTTCTTGTGTAGATCTGGATATCCAGAGTGGGCGCTACAGGGGAATACACGCGTGCACGCGCACACGCACAGAAGAGGATCACTGTGGACTCAACCTGTTACCTGTTTCTGTTCCAAAAGGGGCAAGGCATCTGTTAGTAGTGTCATCCAGAAAGACCGGGGGGCAATCTGGGACGTCATCAACGACAGGAGAAGAGAAGCTGCATCAACGAAACGCTTCTCCCCATATAACCGGTGGAACTCGCGGTACTTTCCTGTTGAGAGCAGAGCACAGTAAGTCACCTCTGACCCTAAACAAAAGAGACCCCAGGCCAGCCTTTCCACAGAGCAAGGAAATTCTTCCAGAGTGGCCTCCAAGCTCACGGGCCAACAAGGCCAAAAGGATCCAAACTACACGCTTAAAAGGGGTTCCAGAGAGCCAAACCTGGGAGAATATAAGCATCAATATAAACAAGAGTCATGAATTATATAACAGATTGAATAAAATAACCCATAAGGCCATTACTGATGTAAATGAAAGAATAAACGGGGACGAAGACAAAGCCTGCCATACAGTGGAATGCCAACTATGAAACACAAGGACTGGCAGTCAGAAAATCACCAGTAGTTACTAAAACTAGTGGGTCAAAGTTTGATGAGAAACAAGACATTTAAATAATCCCAAAGTATCCCTTCACAAATTGTTAAAGGGAAAATCTCTACACGTGACCAAGGTGAACTCCACCAATAAGGGGACGACACTGAGGAGGACACATCACCTCAGTGGAATTCCTGCCCAAATATATAATCTGAGACTGCTCATGGATAATCCCCAAGTGAGAACATTCTACAAGAGAGCTGAACTGACTCTTCAAAAATGTCAAGATTAAGGAAGCACCAAGAAAGGCAGAGGCACTAACGAGACATGAAAACTAAATGCATGAACCGAGACAAAGTAAAGGACATTACTGGGACAGCTGATGGAATCAGAATACGGATTAGATGAGAGTATTATATCAGTGTTGAGCCTCCTGATTTTCATAACTGGTTATATAAGAGAATGTCCTTATTCTTAACAAATACATGCTCAGGTACTTATGGAGAAAGTCTCCATATAAATCTCCAACTTATTTTCCGACTGTTCCCCAAACACCTGATTGAGAGAATAAAACAAATGAGGCAAAGTATAAATAACTGGTGAATCTGGATAAAGTGTGTATGGGAGTTCCTTATTCTTTACACTACTTTCACAACTTCTAAGCTTGAAATTACCAGAAAATAAAACGTTACCAAAAAATATCCTTTGCAGAGACTGGTACACAGGGTTCTATGTGTTTTAGACTGGAGAAGCCTAGAACAGTCCCTCCAATCTCCATAACTGTCCGCCTGTGCTGAAGGTCCAGGGGACAGAGCCCAGAGAGACTCACCCAGGAACGTCAGTCGATCACTGAGCATCATGGCTGGCCCCAGGTTGTCAATGAGATCCAAATCAGAAAAGCAGCCTCGCTCACAGTAATCCCTGAGGAACCTACGAGGCCCGGCCCAGAGGTCAGAGCAGCAGTCCCAGGCCCACCTCCTCAGCCTCCCAACTGCCCAGGCAGTACCCAGGAAGCACACACGGATTGAGCCCACCTGTCTGAGACCAGCGTGGCAAAGGCGGCATCTTTGGCTCGAATGCTCCAAGAGAGGGCGGAGCCCAGGCGATTGTTGCGGACAGCTTTCATGGCCAAGATCTTACAAATGCTGCGAACTTTGCAGGGAAAACAGTAAAGATGAAACTTTCACCCTACAAATCGCTCGATTCCTGAACCCTGCTGGGATAGGAGCAGCTTCCCACCTCCTCTGAGCTTTACACGGCTTCTCTGTGGGCTGCAAATACAGTTTGGCCTGCAGAACTAGCAACTCTGAGGTTTATAAATTGTCTCCTGGCAGGACTGGCTTTGTGAGTGGGTTTCATTTCAGGGGTGGTAAAAATCTTTGTATCGCTCCCCACAGATCAGCACCTCCATTATCTGTCCACATGCTGAAAATCCTACCATCCTTTAG